GTGCTTTGAGATCTACAGATGAACATGCTGTATGACAGCTAGGTGATGGTATTAGCTCAGCCACAAGTTGATGGTCTGGATGCAGGAATCACTGGGTAAAATCTGTTGCCTATTCAGATTAGATGATGGTCGCTTCTGGCCTTAAACTCTATGAATTGTCTAAGCTGAGTGAGATGCAAAAACAAACCAATGTAAATACCCAGGAGCCTATTTGACTTTTACCATTCTTTTCATTTTGACCATCAAATTCATTTGTAACCATAAGTAGGAACATTTTATTTGTTCAGTTACTTTTAACTTGATGCTTAATAGAAGAGTCCATTTCAATGCAGCTAAGAGGTTTTGCTCCTTTATAACATCTGACTCAAATGCCATTTATAGCTCTAATGATTGTTGCTGGGGGCTTTTCCTTCCTCACTGCTGAGTGAGCATTGAATATCATGTGATAGTTGACATGATGGAGCTGATGGGAGCAGCAGTCATGTCAATAGACAGTCAATGTGAGCAAGCCAATTTCCTAACCATTTGTTTCCAATATATAAATCATCCCATTGCAATAATTTTCTTCCTACTGCCCCCTGTGTGATGCTGTAATGACATTTTACTGTATAAATAATTGCAGCTAGCACACTTAATGTATGTCTGGGATTGTTCCTTCCTTGACATTGTTCCTCTTTCATTGTTCAACTGCACAGAACGTAATTCTCCAAAGCAGCACATGGAAAATCTGTTCCCCCAGTGAATTCCCCAGCTCCTCCTTATAAAGATTTAACTTGCCATTAGTGTGCAGTCCAAATCCAAAATTTCCTAGTGACCAAATCCCCTTCCATTCTGTACAGCTCACTCAAAATGTAGGGTGAATTAATTTAGGTTTTGGGGGAGGGGTTCTGTCTACAACCCTGGTCGTGTAATCAGTATGTTGTCAACAGGTTGCTTTCTTGGCAAACTGATGCCCCCTGTAGGTGACTAGCGCATGGTCTCAGAAGATGTTGTAAGACCGATTGTTGTGTCATGAGGTAATTATAGCTTGTGTTTTCTTGACTCTTGATTTCTTTTCTCTCCATTGCCGCGAGAGCTGGCTGCCTCCTTTACTTCTCTATTTGTCACAAATAGGAAGTTTAAGAGGCAGAGAAATTCTGCAAATGAAACATCTCTGCCCATTAGCCATATCGTAGACCTGACCCAGCTCCTTCATCATGAAGGGAACAGGGAGAGAAGACTAACTAACCCAAGGAGTTAGCAGTAATCGATCTTATGCTTTAACAGGGGAACAGCAACAGAATTTCACCCAGCATGCCCACTGCCTCACATGAGAAGCTTAAAATGCAAAGGGATGCAACCCAGCCACCCCAAGAGAAGCCCAGTATCCTGTTTTCTGACACTGGCCATATCCAATGGATCACCCCGTCCTATGCTTGTTGACACCCCCAAAGAATTCTAGTAGATTGGTGAGACGTGGTTTCCCTTTACAGAAGCCACGCCAACTCTTACCCAACGTATCTATGTATTCTGGTAATTCTGTTCTTTAATATAGTTTTAACTAATTTGCCTGGTACTGGAGTTAGCCTTACCAGCCTGTATTTGCCAGGATTGCCTCTGGAATCTTTTTTAAAAATTGGTGTCACATTAGCTATCCACAAATCATCTGGTACAGAGGTTAATTAAAGCAATAGGTTACATACCACAGTTGGTAATTCTGCAATTTCATATTTGAGTTCCTTCAGAACTCTTGGGTGAATACCATCTGGTCCTGGTGACTTATTGCTGTTTAATTTATCAATTTGTTCCAAAACTTCCTCTAATGACACCTCAGTCTGGGACAGTTCTTCAGATTTGTTACCAAAAAAGAATGGCTCAGGTGTGGGAATCTCCCTCACATCCTCAGCCATGAAGACCTATGCAAAGAATTCATTTAGCTTCTCCACAATGACCTTGTCTTCCTTGAGTGCTCCTTCAGCACCTCAATTGTCCAGTGGCCCCACGGATTGTTTGGCAGGCTTCCTGCTTCTGATGTACTCAACAAAATTGCTGTTTTGAAGGATGCCTTTTTGTCTCTAACTGCTTCCTTTACTTTGTTGTTTAGCCGTGGTGGCATTTTTTGTCCTCTTACTTTTTTTAAAAAAATTATTGTTTGGGGTATATGTATAGTTAGAGTCTGTATTATCGTGTTTTTTAAAAGTTTCCATACGGCTTGCAGGCATTTCACCCCTGTGACTGTTCCCTTTTTTGAACTATACAAAAGTGAGGACGCTAATAACATGTAAATTAAAAAGAAGTTAAATGCTACTGTGGTGGGTTTCTTTGGTATTTTCCCCCCTACAAAGATGTTAAATTGAATTACATCATGGTTGATATTACCGAGCAGTTCAGCTATATTCACCTCTTGGACCAGATACTGTGCGTCACTTAGGACTAAATCAAGAATTGCCTCTCCCCTTGCGGGTTCCAGGGAAAGCTGTTCCAAGAAGCAGCCATTATTGGTGTCTAGAAATGTTATCTCTTTATCGCATCCTGAGGTGCCATGCTCATAGACAACATCGTTGAAATCCTCCCTTATAATTGGGTTTTCTGTTTTTGTAGCCTCTCTCATCTCCTTCAGTATTTCACAGTCACTGTCACCATTGCATATTCCTACTGCTACACTCTTATTAGTCAAGCGTGACATTTCTGTCCCTAGAGATTCTGTGGTACTGTTTGATTCATTTAAGATTTTTACTATATTTGACTCTATGCTTTCTTTCACATACAGTGCCTCTCCCCCACCAGCATGATCTCTTCTGTCATGCCTACATATTTTTGCACTGGTTGTGATGGTGACACCAGGGATCCAAATGGGGGGTCGTGCTGGTTGTGATGGTGACAGCAAGGATCCGAATAGGGGTTGCGTTGGTTGTGAACGGACCACGCTGTTTGTTTGACTTTTCGGTTGTAAACAAAACACTCCTGGCAAAAAATCCGGCCGGAACCCTGCTGCGGCTCTCCCCTCCCATCCCTAGAGAAACCTCCCCAGGCAAACTCGCACCAGAGCTGGTGCCAGCATTATGCAAAGCAGCCACATACCTGCTGGCTGCCAGATGAACCAGGGAGAGGAGTTGGCTGTTTGCCTGAAGTGTTACTGATAGCCAACCATGATTATTCCGTCCAACCTGAGCACCCTCAAAGTGGGAGTTGGGGGAAGTACTCTGAGGGTGGGAGGAAACGTTCTCAAAGCACGACAGCCCCTCATTTCAGTACCGGGCGCTTTCCCAGCTTGGCACACACCCTCATGATTAAAGAGGGCCGGACTCACTCTGCCAGTTCAGACCTTGCTTGGAAATGAAGGGTTCCAGCTTTAGAGCAGAACTCCAGGCTTGGGAGGTTTAGGTTCCTTCGGAATCTGGCAGAGCACCAAGAGTAGGGTGACCAGATGTCCCGATTTTATAGGGACAGTCCTGATATTTGGAGCTTTTTCTTATATAGGCTCTTATTATCCCCCACCCACTGTCCCAATTTTTCACACTTGCTGTCTGGTCACCCTACCCAAGAGCCAGGCTCTGAGCTGATCTAAAGCAGGGGAGCACCACTGAAGCTGATGGAGCGGCGGGTGTTTGACGGCAGTTGAGGATCTGACTCGTTCGTGTGCTTTTCTTGCTGGTTGCCTGATGCTGGGCAAGACTAGATTTCAAACAAGGATCCTTACTGCTTGCGCAGAATGTTCCTCTAGTGAGATTGAAGAGGATACTACAATCGTGCAAACCTGTGTAGATCGAAACTAGATAGAAACATGGATTTATATTAGTAGTTCTTGGGAAATCATTGGCTTAAATAAATGGAAGAAAGATTACTATTTTTTTTTTTTGCCTAACCTCAAACTTATTTTCAAAGGAGCCAAAAGGAGTTAGACACCCACTGCCCATTGACATTCCCATTGGGTGCCTAATCCCCTTAGGCTCCTTTTGCAAATCCAAGCCCAGCTGTTTTGTAAAAACTAACCCTCCCTCCCAGCTAGTGTCTTTTATAGTGAGATAACTGAGTCCAAGAGCCTGTAAAGACCTTGAAGGAACAAAACAGAAAGGGACGGGTAGTGGCTAGGCAGACACAGCTGCCTGTGTTTGGAGGGAAAGCACAGGAGGAGGAAGGTGTGAAGCTGAGAATGGCGGCACCTATGGATTAGACGTGAGCCTTTGTTGGAGAATTTGGATCCAGGACCTGAACTCTCTAATGTTTGGGATTCTGCTCTGGGAGGTTTGGCTCAAGCCGTTGTAGAGAGTGGCTGAAAATTCACGTCCAGGTTTGGAGTCCAAGTTCCAATGAACTCAGGGATTTGGGTGAGGAGCGGGTAAGATGTTGATCATCCAAGGGAAATGAGTGAAGACCTGTGCTGTATCTTCGGGTTGGATCCTGTCTGATTCCCCTTGCTTTTGCCTAGCTGCCTTTGAATCAAGGAGTCGCCTTTTTTAGCACAACCCCACAGCACCTTCCATTCCCTTAGATCTCCTGTAATTACTCAGGGCCACAAATTCCCTCAAGAATTGCAGGTGAACCGCCTCATCACCTGTTTGCCAGCCTCTCCCACAGCTTCTCTGCGCTTGCTATCTAGTTGTCGGAAAGCCAGGGATTAGGGAACACCCTCCCTCAGTAACCTCTAAGGATGCTGCTTGCTCCAAGCCCCACCTCTGCTGAGCTCCCCCGTGACAGCGCAGTGGGGGCATCACCCGGGGAGAGCTGGTTCTCTTTATTTCAGTAAAGATTTGGTACCTTCAGAAACCATTGAGTTGTGCAACAGCCACCTTTGTAACTGCCTAGTCTTATTTTCATTGCCTCCATTCTGCCGCCCCATCTCCCTGCCTTTGTTTGTCACGCTCACTTGTTGCATCTTGTCCTGCACTGAACAGTGTGCTTGTCGGGGAAAGGAGCGGGTCTTCATGTATGTTTGTACAGGGCTGAGCGCAATGAGGCCTGGTGGGGGGTCTAGGTGCTATAGCAACACCAAGGTTCATTCTTGTTCTTCTCTGTTGTAGGAAATGAACGAAATGGGCTGGACTTTAACAGACAGGTAAGATCTACCAAACATTCCTCTCCTTTTGCAAGGCAGGTCATTGCATTTGCTGATCTCTTTGGGTCCCCAGGAACTGTCCTTCGTGGGTCAGAATGACTGATGCTGCTTCTCTGTGTTGGCCTTTCTAGTCCATAGTCCATTTGTTGATTTAAGATTTTGTTTAAATCCACGTGAACTTTTTTTTTAATCATGCTATGAAAGGGATTTTCGTTCCATTGAGGGAGAATCCAGCCTCGGCTCCAGGGTGCCACAAACGTTCTATTGTGTGTGACATTGTCGCTCTCCGCCCAGAGCATACGTGTCTGGGTGCACGGGGCCGATGCACCTGAGTGTGAGGGACAGGCATGGTGAGGGTGGTTTGAGTTCTGGCTGTGCCTGGGTCAACAGTACTATTTTCCTGGGATGGGGAGCTGAAAAGCCATAGATTCCCCTGCAAATTTCCCTTTGCAAGATAGCAGGGGGGCAGGAACATCAGACAAACATATACTGCCCTGATATTTTAAAAGATCTATTTCCAGATATAAGTTAATGAATCTGGACAGGAGTGGGTCTCAAGAACTGTCTCCTTTGCCCCCTCCCCTGGACTCTTCCCTGCCACTGTATTGTAATCAATGTTAGGTTCCTGGTTGTGGTATCTGCTAGGGCTGTCAAGCGATTAAAAAAATTAATCGCGATTAATCATGCTGTTAGTAATAAAATACCATTTATTTAAATATTTTTGGATGTTTTCTACCTTTTCAAATATATAGATTTCAATTACAACACAGAATACAAAGTGTACAGTTCTCACTTTATATTTATTTTTTATTACAAATATTTGCACTGTAAAAAACAAAAGAAATCGTGTTTTTCAGTTCACCTAATACAAGCACGGTAGCGCAATCTCTTTATCATGAAAACTGAACTTACAAATGTAGAATTATATACACACACAAAAACTGCATTCAAAAATAAAACAATGTCAAACTTTAGAGCCTACAAGTCCACTCAGTCCTACTTCAGCCAATCGCTTAGACAAATAAGTTTGGTTACAATTTGCAGGAGATACTGCTGCCCACTTCTTGTTTACAATGTCACCTGAAAGTGAGAACAGGTGTTCGCATAGCACTGTTGTAACTGGCGTCCCAAGATATTTACGTGAAAGATGCATTAAAGATTCATATGTCCTTTCATGCTTCAACCACCATTCCAGAGGACATGCGTCCAAACTGATGACGGGTTCTGCTGGATAACGATCCAAAGCAGAGCAGACCGACACATGTTCATTTTCACAATGTGAGTCAGATGCCACCAGCAGAAGGTTGATTTTCTTTTTTGCTGGTTCGGGTTCTGTAGTTTCCACATCGGAGTGTTACTTTTTTAAGACGTCTGAAAGCATGCTCCACCTAGGGTGACCAGATGTCCTGATTTTATAGAGACAGTCCTGATTTTTGGGGTCTTTTTCTTATATAGGCTCCTATTAACCCCACCCCCGTCCCTATTTTTCATACTTGCTGTCTGGTCACCCTAGCTCCACCCCTCGTCCCTCTCAGATTTTGGGTGCTTAAGCCTTGGGTTGAGTCCTGTAGTTATCCTGAGAAATCTCACACTGCTACCTTCTTTCCGTTTGGTCAAATCTGCAGAGCAAGCGTTCTTAAAACAAACAACATGTGCTGGGTCACCATCCGAGACTGCTATAACATGAAATATGCGGCAGAATGCGGGTAAAACAGAGCAGGGGATGTACAATTCTCCCCCAAGGAGTTCAGTCACAAATTTAATTAACGCCATGTGTGGCCGATATAATAGGCAAGGGGAGGCAGTGCCTCTCCTAGTGCAGCCGTCCCTGCCGCCCAACACCAGGGCTGTGGTGACCCCCCCTGCCCCGCCTCTTCCACTCCCTGCTCTGACCCTTCCCCGAGGCTCCCAGGGACTCCTGCTGCTACCTGATCAGTCTTCTTCCTCTCTGCTCCTCCACTCCCCTTTTGGAGGTCCCCACAGCTGCTTGCAGCTTCTCTCCTCCTCATTCCCCCTCCACATTGTGTGTGTGTGAGGATGCGAGTGGCAGGCAGGGGAGTGAGGAGGCATAGGGAGGGGATCCCTGAATAACTTTTACACCGGTGAAAAAGCCTTCCAGAGATCTTGTAGCCAATCACTCAAACTGTTAAAGGGCCATTAAAGTGGTAATGAAGCCATTTAACAGGCATTTGCCAACGGCCAGGAAGCCTTTCCCTTTGGCCACATTCAGCTGGCTTTTCTATTGTAGCAAAATGTGTTATTTGGGGTTAAAAACCGTTTCCAAATTCTTGATCTAGGCATTTTATTCAAACCCAGTTTAAGTAAAGGAGTCTGGCAGGGAATTGTGTGTAAGAGAGGTGATTAAACTACTGCCATAATGCAGGCTGTCAGTGACAAAGGCTTTTTCAAAAGGAGAGATTAGGCTTCAATTTGGCGCAGGCGGCGTGAAAAGCCACGACTCTCTATATACGGTATACACTGATCAAACTCCCTACCATGCAGAGGAGAATCCATCTGGCAATTGATCTATAGCTGTTGCCTGTTCAGTTCCCTTAGGGAATGTTATTGTGCTTTAAGGTGAAAACGGGCAGGGTCTCACGGCGGGGAGGGAGATCACCAGCAGGGTGAGGAGGCGAGCAGCAGGTGGGTGGGGGAGGAGGTCAGTGGAGGAGGGACTTTACTGGGGGGGGTGAAGAGGTGAGCAGCGAGTCAGCGGTGGGAGGGGGCTGGGGCAGAGAAGGGATGGAGCATGGGCGGGGCCATGGACAGAAGAGGCAGGACAAGGCACTTGCCTCCCCCCGGGGAAGTTTCACCCACCATCCATGATTAACACATTACTTTTTTAACGAGTATCATCAGCATGGAAGCATGTCTTCTGGAATGGTGGCTGAAGCATGAAGGGGCATACGAATGTTTAGCATGTCTGGCATGTAAATACCTTGCAATGCCAGCCACAAAAGTGCCATGCAAATGCTTGTTCTCACTTTCAGACTACATTGAAAACAAGAAGCGGGCAGCAGTATCTCCCATAAATGTAAACAAAGTTGTTTGTCTTAGTGATTGGCTGAACAAGAAGTAGGACTTAGTGGACTTTAGGGTCTAAAATTTTACATGTTTTTGAGTGCAGGCATGTAACAAAAACAGCTACATTTGTAAGCTACACTTTCATGATAAAGAGATTGCATTACAGTACTTGTATGAGGTGAATTGAAAAATACTATTCTGTTTATCGTTTTTACAGTGCAAACACTTATAATAAAAAATAATATAAAGTGAGCACTGTACACGTTGAATTCTGTGTTGTAATAGAAATCAATATATTTGAAAATGTAGAAAAACATCAAAAATATTAAATAAATTTCAATTGGCATTTATTGTTTAACAGTGCAATTAATCACGATTACTTTTTTTGAGTTAATCACATGAGTTAACTGCGATTAATCGACAGCCCTAGCATCTGCAGCCATGGCATCTCTGATTGTCCAGAGATTTTTGAAGACCATGTTGAGAAATCCCCCCGAATCTTGACTCCCAGGTCAAAACCCTCAGGTGAGGCAGGTAGAGTCAGCACTTCTTACACTGTAGATCCCAGCTCCTAAAATGCTGTAGGGCCTTCTCCAAAGCTCATTGAAGTCAATGGGAAAGACTCCTACACTGACTTCTGTGGTCTCTGGATCAGATCCTCAGAGCCCAAAGGAGGTGGAAGCCTAGAGACAGATGTGGGAGGCGGCAGATTTGTGAGTTAGCTCTGGCCTCTAGCCATAGGGTTGGGGAGGGGAAAGCCATAAGAGGCTGGGGCTATCTCAGGGCTGTCATTAGGGATCTGAGCAGATGTTGCATATGTGCAAATTCATCACCCTGGTGATGGACAGGCTGTTCTCGTCCTTCCCCTTTCCCACTGCACTCTCTGCCCCTCAGGGTTTGCCCTGTGGTTTCCATCTGAGAAGGTGTGAGTGGGCCATTTATCTGTTTGTTTGCCTTGGCTCATCTGGGCTTGGGTGGATCAGTCCCTCCCCATCAAAGGTGTCTTGACACGCTCAGTTATCTTCCATTGGAAAACCACACTAAAAACAAAAAAGCCTTGTGGCTCCAACTCTGTGGACTCCAGAACTGATGGCAGGGAACTTCTGTGAGCCAAAGGGATCACCTGAGTGGCTCAGAACTCGTCGTAAGGGAAAATTCCATTGAGATAGAAATAGGCAGCAAACGTACGTTGTGCCGGATCTAAAGCCACTTGAAGTCAATGGAAAGACTCTCATAGATTTCAACAGACTTTGGATCAGACCCAGAGGCTGCTCTGGACCTCATAGGATTGGGCCCTACTACACTGAATGATTTACATCAGAAATGCAGACTCAGGAATGGGCTGTTTCCCCAGTGCTGGCCAAGCCATCTAGACAGGATTTCTTTGTAATGACTGGCGGGGGGGTGGGGATTAAACATCAGGTCATCACTTTCCATGTATATTCCTTCCAATATGATGGGCATCTATCAGAATGTCGGACAGGTATGCATCATCAATGCTTTCATTAATCTCTCCATCCCGTTTTATTGTGGAACAGTTGCTTGTCTTCTTCGTCTCTCAGAGAAGCACAAACACTTGCCACAATAATATACAGTAGGAAACAAACCCACAACAGCAAAGTGTCCGGCGTAATAGGTTTGATCCTTCCCCAGTAGAAGTCAGTTGCAAACAGTGGAGCTGGAACAATTTGGATAGTGGAGGTGCTGAGAGCTGTTGAACCAATGTAGATGATGGAAACTACTTCAAGCCAGGGGGTGCGGCAGTACCCCTAATTCCAGCACCTATAGTAGGTTTTGACATTAGTCACGTCTGCTAACATGGTAGAGTCCAGTGTGGTAACAACCAGGGCCGGCTCTACCATTTTTGCCGCCCCAAGCAAAAAACACCCCCCCCCCAAAAAACCGCTCGGACTGCTGCCGCCCGAACTGCCGAAGCACAAAAAAAAAAAAGCTGCCCGGACTCTGCCACCCCAAGA